TCTACCCTATCCCTCTTATTATGCTCTATTTTTTCTTTTTCCCACAGCACTTATCTTTAATACACTATCTGATTCACTCCTTTATAATGTGTATCATCTATTCTATTATCTGTTTCTCCATATTAGAATGTAAGATTCTCTAAGACACCAGGACAAGGACATAAAATAATGCCTCCACAGAGGACACTCAAGAAATATTCGGGAATAAATGATGAAACAAGCTATAAACACATTCCATAACAGATTCTTGAGTTAGCTTATTTTATTGCCTAGAAGTCTCTAAAAGTATCCAATATCAAAAAATCTCTTGCTGCCCTAGCTGGTTTTGCTCAGTGGATAGAGCGTCAGCCTGTGGACTGAAGGGTCCCAGGTTCGATTCCAGCCAAGGGCACATGCCTAGGTTGCGGGCTTTATCCCCAGTGGGGGATGTGCAGGGGGCTGCCAATCAATGATTCTCATCATTGATGTTTCTATCTCTCTTTCCCTCTCCCTTCCTCTCTGAAATCAATAAAGATATATTTTTTAAAAATCTCTTGCTGATCACCAAATTTTGAATATTCCCAGAATTGCAATGATTGGGCTTTCAAAGTAAGAGTGAGCTGGGTTAGGCTGGTTTCTAGAGACATTTTGCAAGTGAAATTAATAATGAGGATTAGAAGAATGCTCTCTAATTTTATTGGTGTACCTTTGATAAATCTTTTACATGTAACATTTTGAGAACTGATGAGTGTAGAGAAAGACAGTCTTGAGAAAAATCCAGTTTATATTTCACTGTTGTTCCTGTAATTCAGCATAATCACTTAATTCAAAGACCCTAGCTTCAACCTGATAACACTCTCAGGAAAATTTAGCCTGAATGACTAAATTATTTCTGCTTAAACTTACTCAACTGAGCTATAGGAGCTAGGATTATATGGTCTGTATTTATTTCTGCCACCAAGCAAGAAAATAAATTTAATTATAATATTAAAAATATTTTCTTTAAAAAATTCTTAGAACATGGAAAAACAGTAATTCATGGGACATTTCATTTTCTTTTAAGATAATAAAAAAAAGCTACTGATTGTAAGGTAAATTGTACAGATTGTTTGTGAGATGTAAAAATTTATTTAAAAAAATTATCTTTATTGTTCAAAGTATTACATATGTCCTTTGTCCCCTCACCCCCATTGACCCTTTCCACCCTGCACCTGCCCTCCCACCACCCAGGCCTTCACCACACTATTGTCTGTGTCCATGGATTATGTATAAAATACATATAAGTTCTTTGGTTAATCTCTCCCCACCCACCAAATTGGATTTTTATAATTAAAAATTTTATTACTATTTTATTTTTTCCAGAAGAGCTGGCTTCTATTTAATCTGTTTAATTAAAATATCTGTATCTCAGATACATAGTTTTGAGTAATACCAGTTAATTTATTTTTACTGTACTTTATAGGACCAGTATTTCAATTTACATGATGCTTCAAATGGATATAACATAAATGGTTGGTGTTTTAGAAACAAAGGGGCATGGGTAAAATAATTTAATAATTTATAAATAACCTACAGTTTTCTAATCTGAGACATACAACTGGAAATTCATACAGCTTCAGAAATAGAAGAAACTTGGAGATCTCCAAAACACTCATTTCATATATGATGGAACTTTAACTAAGAGACATCTAGGATTTGCCCAAAGGTCCCCATCACACAACTAGTTCAAGGCAGAGCCAGCACTAAAATCCAGGAGTGATGGCTGCCAGGGCAGACTTTTTCCCAATATATTATGTAGTTTTCCTTGTATATTTTTTCTTCTTAATTTCAGTGTAATTATATTACTGCTATTATCATTATAATATAATTTCTGTGGTGTTTAAGGCCAAAGGTAACTGTGGAATGACAAAAATTCTGCCCAGGGGCATACACTTTCACTTTCGGCCATCAAGTAATAACCTTATATATGTAATCTGTAATATATGATTTTCTGCATCTTTCATATTTTCTATAATGAGCATGTGCTATTCATAATGAAAACTTAATTTTAGAAAACATTATTAAAATTATTCATATTAAAAATAAGCATAACATATAAAACAAATATAATAAGATAGACTAAAGTAGATTTTATATTTTTCCCTTAAAAGAATAAATTCTGTCTTATTTAATGTCATTTGTTACTTTTGATGTTTAGAAAGAAAGCATACTAAAATAAGCTTTGTGAATAACTGTCCTTCTATTTTCTTACTTCTTTTGTAAAATAGTCCTTGTCTAAATATATCTGCCTCTTCATCATATATTCAAAACCAAACCTATAAAAAATTAGACATAGGTAACAGTTTACTGTAATTTTTTTTCATTTGTGAGATTTTTTTTTCTGGTAAATTTCTCTGTTCACCCATGATAGTTGCACTAGCCTTGGGCTCCATGCTCCTTGATAGTGACTGCACAAAGGGTAATGTGGGTTAGAACTCTATTTAGATACTCTGCTTTATTATTTTATTTTAACTTTCCAGAACCTGAATTTTGGGCTAAATTAGCTGGCTACCTTGGAGTCTGACCTTCTACTTTAAATTGGCTGAGAAAAACATTTTTATTATGGAGAAATAATTCCTACCAGGAAGCAATTTGTATCCAAGAGCTATCATGTTTCAAACATCATTAGGAGAAGCATTGAGCAGTGCTAATCAATTTGGATAAATATCGAATAGAAAACAGAAGTTTGTGAATTACAATGGAGAACAGAGTCTACAGATTGGTTGGAGGAAAGAATAAAAGACCAATAGAGGAAGAAAACAATATTCTGGATAAGACAGAGTATGGAATATACTGGAGGCACATAGGGGGAGAGAAAATACTCTAAGCTGTTAAAGTGTCCTGTTCCCTCTGGAAAGGAGTGTGAAATAGCCTGGCAGATGGTGAAATTCCAGCACATCAGCCCAGGAGCACCTGGTTGAAAGTCTGCAGGAATGGAGAGGAGAGAGGGCAGTTTATCTGGAATCAAACTGAACTTGGTCCCGGAACTTGGTGGGTGCTAAGAACATAGCTTAAAGAGAGAATTTTTGCATCCACAATTCGTTTTGAGGAGCTGGCAAGATATAATAAAAAGTATGAGGAGGAACAAAAATACATTAAGATCTCATAGGTCAGCCCAGGGGGGACATAACCTGTGGGGGAAGTAAACTAGGTGTTTATCTGTTAAGCCATTCTGGACTTTTTCTGTCTAGACATAGTCTATGTAGTTGGATTAAATATGTTCATTATGGCATATTATTTGTTAATATCCTATTGCCAGTCCTTCCTGCTGCGTTCCTCTTTCCCTCACTAGATTTTGCTAGATTCTTGAGAAAGAGACTGTGAACCATACTTTGTTCTATACCCTGGCCATCCACCTCGCATTGCACCCCACCCCATGCACACTGCAGCATTCCTCAACTCCCTGCCCTGCCCTGCCCTATTTTTAACCCATTGGATTCATCATGACCTACTATTCTATATAATTCACTGTATGTTATATTTATAAGTTAAATATCTTGGTTAGTGACATTTATCTTATGGTTATGTCCTTCTCTTTTCCTTATAAGTAGAGCTATAAAGGCAGATGTTTAAATTAACACAGCCTCTCTTGTTTTTCTATGAGTTGGGAGCAAGTACAATAGGCATTGCCTGAAAGGAGAAAAAGAATGTAAGTTCAGATGGGACTGACCTGGGATGGAAAGGATTGAAGCACATGAACAGGACTTTCTGCTGGAGTATATACTAATTCAAGGAAGTCCAGAATTTTCCTTAGTATCCTGAGCTTAGCGAGGAGACCTTGGTTCTAGTTCTGTTCTGTCGCTACTGTGTGACATTAAACAAATCCCTGTTTTAGTTTCACTGCCTATAACATGGGGATAATAATAGTTTTTCTGTTCTGTCTCATGGTTTTTCAAGATAACTCTATATAAGACATACTAAAATAGTTTTAAAAGTTTAAGATATTATACTTTTGTAAACACATTATAATTATTATCAAATATTTTATTTTTTTAAAATGTTTTCTCTAAGATATATTTCTATGTGCAGAATAAGATATTAAAGCCTAATATACAATTAGGTGATACTGTGTTTAATATTCATATAAAATGTTTCCTGGTTTAAATATCAATCATTTTTGTAAAGTATGATTATTTTTTTTATCTTCTCTATACCTGTGTATACTCTGTTGGCAATTAGAAACTGAAGTTTGGCTATTCGTGATCACTGCTTCTGGCTGGGAAAATACTGGATTTGAAGCAAGGAGCTGAGCAGATGTTGAATGGAGGGCCTGTGGGGAAGGTTCAGGCGGGTAGTAAGCACTGGCGAGGAATGACTTTGTCAGGAACTGGCCCATCAGGTGCATGGGCCATAAAATGAGGCCATGAGGGACACAATGTTCTTGATGCCAGTAGTAAATCCGTTTCAAATAAAGTGAACTGTTTGCTTAAACTTTCCTATATTCTGTCACAACTTTCACGCTGAGAATTGACTCAATATAGCCAGTAGCTTACCTAGAGGCTGTAGGGCAGAAAGACTCAGAGTACAGGTTGTTGCATCAAAATTGTGTTCAGTAAGACAAAGCTCTCGGGAACTATTTGGTATCTTGCTTGTTAGAACTTTCTAGTTTAAACATAATTTCCCCTTTTGATGATACTGCTCTTTTAACATCCCGTTTGGAATAAAGTACTCACCTGATGAGTTGTGTACAGGGTGTCCCACCAATAAAATGCATATACACTTTAACAGATGATAGTTCAATTTTGAAAAGGAAATATCTTTTAATAATCACTGCCTTTATAATTATTCATTGTGTGTATACATTTTATGGCACACCCTCTATAATCAGTTCTCTGACAAATCTATGATCTTTTAATTTCAACTTTACATTAATATTATATAAGGGAAATTGCCAAGCATTCATTGTACTTTTCCTTGTGGATACTTCATGTTTTATTTTTATGTGGACTTTTTTCTCTTCTCTTTCCCCCAGTGAAGAGTGTTTCACAGAAAGCTGTCTGCTGGTGAGACATGGTTGCTACGGAGCCAGAGATGCCACAGCCGAGTTTACTAAGGAGGATACCGAGGTGAGTATCTGATGATGGAAGAGAGCACTTTTCATTCTCCTTGTGAGGTTCTTTAGGTACAGATGACAAGTTCAGTAACTTGGTAAGAATAAGACTTCAGAAAGAAATATGAAATTTTAACATGTTTCCTCAGAGTGATATAAATTTGAAGATACTTCTTCAAGGATGAATGAATTTGGTTTATGCTCACCTGATCTTAATATATGGTGAAAATGACTTGGAAAATCCCACATGATACAGATATTTTGGTTATAAAACCAGGTAGGCTCTCCAAGGCCTTTGTCTCATCACCTGGGATGACAAATCTCAAATATTTCTTCCATCTTCCCGTTTGGTTAAGTAAAGGTCAATAAAAATTTATTGAGATCTACTATATGCTGGTGTTTTACTAAGGAGTTTTCATACTTTTTCTCATTTAATCCTATCATCCTGATGCAGAGTATTATCATTTCAACAAACACTAGGAAATATTACTCAGTGGAAAAGGTAGGTTTTGAATCGTGTTCAGTATCACTAAGTTCTTTCTGTTAAAACATTTCCAGCTAATGAAGAATAGAATAAATACATAAATTATTGATTTCCTGTATACCTCACAACCAGTACTTTTTCTGTTAGTTTTATGAATACTTTGAAAAATTTATAAATTATAAAGTTTAATAAGATGCTTTGAGGAGATTATTCTGGCTTTTGAAAACAAAATGTGTGAAACACTGCTCATTTTTACCATTAGCACGTTTAATCAGTGCCTTATTGTTTGGGCTCCCTGTAGGTTGTTCTTGATGCTCACATGCTTTAACTTAATTAAAAAAACAACTTACTGAATCTATAGCTTGTATACAACATTGTGCTAGAATAGGTAAGACTGTATTCTAAAGCTTTCTATATAAGGCAGTGGGCATATTACCAGATTGTAAAGGGAAAGCATCTTGAGTAGAAATCTTAAATGCCCCCTCAATATTTGAAATTGGCAGTTAATCCTATCAACAATATGTTACACTTAAACTTTAGATACCTTCAATCTCCTAAAATCCTTTAGTGGAGTCACAAGGCCAAGCCAAAGAAAATCTGCATCTTCTGGGATTGTGGAGTTTTTCACTGTCACTAGTATTCATTTATCAAATCTGAACAAGGGCATGTGGAACAGACCAATGCCCTTTAAGAAAGGGTTGTGGCCAAGCTGGCGTGGCTCAGTAGTTGAGCATCGACTTATGAACCAGGAGGTTATGGTTCGATTCCCAGTCAGGGCACATGCCTGGGTTGCAGGCTCCATCCCCGGTGTGGGGTGTACAGGAGGCAGCCGATCAGTGATTCTCTCTCATCATTGATGTTTCTATTTCTCTCTCTCTCCCTTCCTCTCTAAAATCAATAAAAATATATTTTTTAAAAAGAGAAAGGGTTGTGATGTTTGGGTTCACATGTAAAGAAGAATGAATTGGCACCCTATTAGCCTGGGAAGACACATCTTTTGGCTCAGAATATCTTTTAGAAAGCAAAAGTGGATTGAAAAAGAGAAAGAAATGTTCTTGGAGAGCAAGTTGTATGACCTGAGTGAAATTTATTGAGGCAGTTTATGTGTCTGGGTTTTCAAAAGTGCTGGAAAATTTTATGATCACCACTAGGTACTTGTAACTTGGTCAGTGGGGATATAAGAGAAAGGTTATTTAATGCTTCTAAATATGGATTTATTGTCTATGGGAATTAGGATTAAGAGTTCTTTCCATGTAGTGCTTTTTCCTATGCTATATTATTTTTTTAAGAAGTTAAAAAAAAAGAATGTTAGGTCTCTTCCTCTGAAATTCCTGTTTATTGGTTACTCTTAGGAACAGGACATTTGATTAGGTGGACTAGCTCATGTATAGCAAATGCCACCCTACTTTAATACAGGTTGCTTAGAAACAGTGTTTTGGGATTACTACCTTAATGGTTATCTGTGAATTGAACACTGCCAATCTCTTATCTCACAGAGGGCGTGGGCAAACCATTAAGTGACTCCAATTTTAGAGATTGTGACACTGTGTATTAGACATCAGCCTTTGCAGGAGACCTGGGCCTTGAACACATACCGAGATAAGACATTTATGTGAAAGATAAGACTTGTTTCTCAAACCACTGGGTGCTCACAGACTATCACATAGAGCTGTATGAGTTTTAGACATCGGAAGAGAGAGGAGGAGTTCTACATACTTTGTGATTTTATCTATAAGCCAACTTTCCAGAAAAAGCCTTATAAAGAGTTACAGTAAGATGCCCTATCTATGCAAGTAGTTTAGGGAAATAGCAATATTAAAACCACTTATAAGACTGCATTGTATAAATTACCTATGTTTATATAGTCTAGGGAGTGTAGGTATATGTACAATTCACGAAGCATCTAGAAATTGGAAGGAAGTCTTGGACATGGTTTCATATAGACTTCCCTATAGTGTAGATGAGGACACATTCAATACATCCCTAATATATCTAGAGTTCTTAATTCATGTCAGGCATTGCAGATGTGACTATGGATTAGGTATGTGGAAAAACAATCCTATATTTAAAAAAGAATATTTACTAAACATAACATTGCCATTGAGACAGATGTTCAAAACAAAATAGGATTTTTTTTGTCCTTGGTTGCCACCTTAGCCATCATCGTCTATTCTAAAAGATATTGGTCCATCAAAGCAAAGACCTACGAGACTTGCATATTTTAGGTTATAAACACACGAATTAAAAAAAAACTGTTTCATAAATATTTTAAATATTCTTTGTTCTTCAGACGTGCATAAATTATTGCTGCTACATTTTTTACCCTTTCCTTTTTTCTCTGTTAGCAGGCAGTGGCTACAATTGATTCAGCACTACTTTACCAGAATAAGTAAAGGCTGATTTGTCTTGTGTGGTATTAAATTAAATCTGAGCGATAAACAACTTAAATTTTAATGCTTCATATTCAAGAGTGCATCTATGCTAATATTTAAATAACACAATACAGGGTCAAGCAAAAGTAGGTTTATATAAAATAATAATAAATAATAATTCAAGAATAATCTCTGTATTTCATGTACTCACAGCTATAAACCACTCTGCATATCTATCTTTCCAACTCTGATTCTGTGCGTTGGTCTTTGGTTTTAGACTTTTGCTGAAAGCTCTACAATAAGAAATATGGAAAGGTGAGAGTATTGCTCTAAGCCAGGGGTGGGCAAACTTTTTGACTCGAGGGCCACAATGGGTTCTTAAACTGGACCGGAGGGCCGGAACAAAAGCATGGATGGAGTGTTTGTGTGAACTAATATAAATTCAAAGTAAACATCATTACATAAAAGGGTGCGGTCTTTTTTTTTTTTAGTTTTATTCATTTCAAACGGGCCGGATCCGGCCCGCGGGCCGTAGTTTGCCCACGGCTGCGTCTAAGCCTTACTCAGCTAGAAAAAAAATTGTGCAAATCTTACTTGAGATTTATTCACTGACTTATTTGACTAGTGTAGATTAAGACTTAGTCATAAAGGCAAATAATATAAAGCAATGTTACCTATAGTATTCTTTTAGTGTACTTGATAGAAGTTTAGGATGACCACATCATCAAATATGTGCCTATAAAGAAATGTGTTGCATGTCTTTCTTCACCAATTTGATCTATTTCCCAGATCACTGAAAGTGAAGCAATGCTGTTAGGGTATCTATGTGAATAGAATATAGATACTTTTTTTCAGTTTTCATATATAAGGTGGACCAGTGGAGTATCAATATACTTTCCTTTTCAATTTTCTCCCTCCCTTATATTGGTATATATTGTTGTTGAACTTTCTCCTTTATGGAGACTTTGCTTCATACGTGTGTGTGTGTGTGTATACACACACTCTGACTCTCTCCATATACATACATACACACACACATATATATATACACTATGTATATATTTATTATACAAAATATGTATATTATATAATATGTATAGTATATATGCATCACACACACACACATACATACATTCACTTTGCCTTATGAGACAAGCTATTGTAAGAAAAAAATACATATCCTAACTTGAGTAAGTGTCAAAACCTCAAAGAACTTCAGTTCTTATTTGCAAAATGGAGTTAATCATATCTACCTTTTTGGATTTTATGAAGACTAAATTAATATGCAAAACAAATAGGTCCTGACAAATTGTGGGCAATAAAAAGTGGCCTTTTCTCCTAATTGTTAATTGTTGAATACATTAACAAAGCAAAGCAAGCCATTCTTTACGTTTTTCCACTAAGATCCAGGAGAAGTGGGAGGACTATATTTTACTTTTCATAAGGTGTGTAAGATTGTCAATCAGAAGAAATAGGATGCCTTGGCCAGTGTGGTTCAGTTGGTTGAGTCGTTGTCCCATGCACAGTTGGTTGACTAGTATTCCTGTGCACCAAAAGGTAGCCAGTTAGATTTCTGGTCAGGGCACATGCACAGGTTTCTTCTAGATCCCAGGTAGGGTATGTGTGGAGTCCCGTAATCGATGTTTCTCTCTTTCTCTCTCCCATTTTCTTCCCCTCTCTCTAAAATCAATAAACACACACAAACACACACACACACACACACACATTCACACATTGAGAGGGATGTCCAACTGCCGGTTTAGGCCCATCCAGGGATTGGGCCTAAACTGGCAGTCAGACATCAGACATCCATTGAGGGGTCCCAGATTGGAGAGAGTGCAGACCAGGCTGAGGGACACACACCCCCGCCCCCCGTGCATGAATTTTGTGCACCGGACCACTAATCTCTATAATAAAAGCCTAAGCGACGATTACGACGGAATGACCAGAACGACCAGTCACTATGATGCGCATTGACCACCAGGGGGCAGACACTCAACGCAGGAGTTGCCACCTGGTGGTCAGTATGCTCCCACAAGGAGAGTGTTGCTCAGCCAGAAGCCAGGCTCCCAGCTGGCAAGCCCAGCGGCAGTGGCAGGAGCCTCTCCCACCTCCGCGACAGCATTAAGGATGTCCGACTGCCGGCTTAAGCCGGGCGCA